GTCATGGTGGCGAAATCACATCAGGCGGTGGGAGGCTCTAGAGGGTCAGCTCGGTGCTGGCTACAGCCTAGAAGTTGGCTTTGGTTTGTCCTCTGTGGCTGCCGGTAACATCTGGGCTTCTCTGGGTTCTAGTGTGCTACCTCTTTGCAATGAGTTTCAGTGTCTTAAAATACCATATTGCACAAAAATGTCCTAATGAGGTGCCTCGCTCTGAAACCTTTCCCTGCCTTGCTGGAGGGAGACAATCCAAGAGCATCACAGGCTGCTGAATCCTTCAGGCTCCTGCGTGGTAATGAAGTATATGTCCTTCTGGAGGCATGGAGAGTAACTCAGAAAACAACATACTTTCCAAGCAGAGAAAATGGCATTAGTGTTGCCTTGCTTTCTGCTCTGGCCTGCTGCAGAGACCTCCCAGTCAAAGAGCCAGCTAGTGAACCCAACACAGCCAGCCAGAAGGTGCCCCAGCTCTTGGTTTGCTGGGGAGTCTCAATTGAAATAACAAGTACTCACCATGTTGACCGCTTTAAATGTAAACATGAGTATTGATTTTTTTTCCTTGTCCCGTTTTGACCTGCAAAATTTCAAAGAATTTGCTGTGGCACTCACTGTTCATTCCTGTTTATCCAAGAGCATTTTGCAACAGTACAAACCTGGGCTTGGTTTCACTCCTCGCAATGCAATGCCTTCACCTGGAGTTTCAGATTCAACATGAGCTGTTTCTTAAAGGAAATCCTGACAGAAAGCTTAAGAAGTTGTACCTTTCATAGAATCATAGAATATCCCAAGTTGGAAGGGACCCATAAGGATCATCAAGTCCAACTCCTTTGCTGAGGTTAATTTAAGAATTCTGTTCTTGTACCGCATTTATCTAGAGCTTTTGTTAGGAGCTTGCACTGAGTTGTCCTTTTGATGGGATTGCTCATCTCTAACATGCAATTAAAATATTCAGAAATTACTGCAGACTTCTAGGCATCATCTCATACCCTCATTTATAGAACTGTGGCTCCTAAAAATGCAGTGATAATACCATGTAATCAATAATTTAGAGGTCCCAGCAATACTTATGTCTGCGCTCCTGATCAACGATATGGAAAACAGATACTGGTTTCCTCACATTTTAAGTGTGCTCAGGGAATCAAAGAACTCATCTCCTTGTTCTGGGCATCCCTGCTTTCATCCTTGCCTCTTCACATTTGTCACAATATTTATTTTACAATATACTCAAGGTTGTGAACATGCATATTGCAGCTTTGCTACTTTTTTTGATGCCAGCTGAAATCTTAGCGGCTTCTAGGATGATGAGTGATTGTATTATGTGCTGTTATAAAGATAAAAACTAAACCCCAGCTATGACATTTTAGTATGAAAAAATATGAAAGAACCAATAAACTTTAATTGTGATGTAACTCCATTTAGCTCCTTTGATTGCAGTATAATATTTTATATTATTGAGTAGGATTATGAAGCCCCTGTTACAGATAAACGTACACACATCTGTTTTCAGTGTGTTATTTATCACATTCCCTTATGTTTTTTATTCTTACAGTCAGAGAATAAGATACTCTCCTGAAATCACTCTTCGCAAAAAATTCTATTGCCAGTGTACAAAACATGCTCTTTGCAGAGGGACGGACCCCAAAATCCCTGCATCACCTCTCAGTATCTTTTCTAACTTGGTTACTCATTTTGGAATTGACTTCATGGTATACATACCATGTACATAGCTTTCATCACGGGGCATTCCTAAATCTCTCTCTCTGAAGTTGTCAAGATCCACAAATCTTACAGAAGTCATACTGCTCGTGCAGTAACCCTCTAACACATTTACAGAGGATTTTAAGCATAACAGGAGATGATGCTCACACCTGATTATAAGGGTCTTATTGACATTTGAAGCTCTACTGTGATTAGCCATTATTAACACATCTGTTTAGCATCAGGCACGAGAAATGTGAATATAAAGCACCAGCAATTATTATAATTAGTGGCACAAAAGTGCATTGTCTGCACTTACCTTTACCTGAGCTGCATGGCCTTTGTTAGGGAGCTAGTACGCACCTGTATATGTAATAACAGGTTATATAAAGGTATGTGTGTGTGTAAATATGCATAGTTATATGTATACAGTTATATACATATGAATATATATGTATATTTAAGTTGAGTGTATGAGGGACGTGACTTTTTCTAGACTCATTAAATAAACCTCTGGTCCTGTGCTCCCATGAACCCTGCCAGCTGCAGAGATCTGTCTTACAGAACAATTTCTAACAGAAATAAATGGGTCCTCGTTTTGCTTGAGAGGTACTAAATTACATTTGCCATTTACCTAACTGCATTAAAAGACCGAGTATGAGCGTGCACAGCACGTGCCGCGCAGCAGTGCCTTTGTGGTCTTTGGGGATTGATATCAAAGAAGACGTAGTGCTTCATGAAGTGCCTGTGGATCAGAGGGGGATAAGTGAGCGTTGGCTGCTTATCTGTCTCCTTGGTACCAGTGTGGGCCTCAGAGATAGGTGGTATCTTTGCAGCTACATCTGAATCCATTGTGGGGAGGAAAATACACCAGTGTGTGTTCATCGTTCTTGAAATGTCTGAAATAGAAGAGTTAGCTGATTACCATCAGTCACAGATTTAAGGCAGTAAAACTGTACCTCCTATAAACGTGTTTGACCAGCTGATCTCTGCCGAGGAGGGGAAGCTCTGCCTTTTGGAGGCTTTGCAGGTGGTACTTGCTCTGGAATTGTGTGATGGACACCAACAGGAGCTTGCTTCCAGGTGCCGATCGAATGCATCCGTTACAGACCTGCTGGTCGGAATTGGTACTGCAATGAAAATCAAATTTTTCAGCGTTATTTGTTTGCATAATATGAATATGGTAACATGAATATGTTGTGAAGCAGCAGAGTTATTTGTAGGAAGGATGACTTGCCTTTCAGAATTACAGGAGGCAATAGAAAGAAATGAAAATTCTGGTATTTGCTGTCTTCTGAGCTTACTCAACTAGTGGTGTCAGCTTAACAGTTAGGCCTTTGCTATGAAGATTGTATGAAAACAATAGAGGCAAAATGTCTAATTTCTCACTAAAGAATGTCAGCACATGAAGAAATACCTATTTCTAATGAACTACTAAGATATGTTTATACTATTTGTTCACGGTAGGGCAGTGTGTTGTCCTGCTGTTGGACATTTTAGTCCAAAGTATTTCATTCATTTTTGTCACAGTCACTAATCTATTCCTTTAAATAGTCAGTTATCAGTGTTTTTACCATTCATGACCAATCAAGTTGCCTTTCTGCTTTATGTGACAATCATGCATTATACTGAATAAAAACAAAACAAAACAACAACAACAAAAAACCTGAAATGGCCAGGCTAGTTACACTTCTTCACATCTGATAGAAAGCACCTACTTTACAAGTTCATATTTTCCTGCTCTCAGTGAATTTACTGAGATTGGCAGAGTTTTTAGTGACTTGATGTCAGGCCCCATCATCACTAGCAAATACAGTGGGAGCCTGTCCTTTTCAGTATCCCCTGCCACTCTGTTGAATAATGTTTATTTTTTCTTCTAGAACAGAGCTCATCTAAAAACAGTTTAAATGCCAATTTTGTACAAGAGAGGAAAAAAAAAACAACTGAAAAAATGAGATCCCATTCATATTGCTTGGCTTTTCCATTCTGAAGAAAGACTATATATATATATATATTTAACAGAAATAGCTCATACTATAGCTACAGATCATTCTTTCCAATTAATGTAATTGTAAAATTAAAATCATTTCTCAGAAAGGAACCTCTGTCTTGAAAATTAGACTTGAAAAGCAGGTTTCCAGTGTTCTAATACATTCACTTGGTGCTGCAATGTACTTTGAGAAGAAAAATTGAAATTTACATTTTTAAGGTTTTACTTCCTATTAATGTTGTTATGGAGAAAAACTCATTAACTAGAGTATTTGTGAACTAAAGGAATAACAAATAAAAGCAAAGTAGTTTATTGGATTTTATTCATAAGAATATTTTTAAATATTTTGTTGAAATGCTTTTTGCTAACTTCTTTTCCCTGTAGTGAAATGGGATATGAGGATGAAATTTATTGCAATTATTCTTTGAAAAAAATACAAGTGCAGAGGTCTTTAGAGTAGATTTGTTTACTTGAACTGTTTCTCTAAGGAGTAACTCTATTAGAAACACTGTGTATTAAAACATTTATAGTTAGCATAAATGTCTAAACTGCTTCCAAGAAGAAAATTTGAACTATTTTGTGTTCTGTACATCCAATTCACATTATGCTGTTTTCCTTGAATGTATTGCAATGTTAATGCCATGCTAATTTTAATATTTGGTTTTACAAGGGGACTCTTGCTTCTGAAATACATAGTGTAGTATATCACACATGACATTGAAGTCTTGGAACTTATCAGAGATATGACTACCAAAGTTGGAAAAAAATATTCACACCTCCAAAATCAGTACACATTCAATTATTAGGATATAACAGGATTCTCATGAAAACCTCTCAAGGTCAATGAGAAATTTGTCATGTACAATGGGGGGTACGATGAAACATAATGAATTTTTCTGCCTCTGAAACATGATAATGCGCTACAAATTTCCCCAAATCACTCGTTGTTAGCCATGCATAGAAAATGATATGTCCCACATAATGATGAATCCAGACCCTTATTTCTTGCCTGCTTTCAGCCTGCACTGACTTCTCCCCAATTCAATGATACTATTGGTTTTAGGCAACCTTTCCAAAACCCATGTGCTGTACAGATAAAAACGAGGATTAAGTTAGGTACATATATTACATCATTTCAATGCATGCTTAGTCCATTGTCCAGCGGATGAGTTTTATGTTACTGATTTGAAGTGTGTACCCATTTTCATGCTTTCTCATGAATTAATTTGTCTCCTCTGCAGTTCACAATAGGTTTTCAAATTTTGGAATTTTGCTAATCACATTTTTCCCCTTGTCTTGTTTTTTTTTTTTCCAGCTCTCGTAAATGTGAAACTTTGGGCTATTGATCGGCAATGTTTTCAAACAATAATGATGAGGACAGGCCTCATCAAGCATACTGAGTATATGGAATTTTTAAAAAGGTATGACACTTGTTTACTTTATAAGAAATACAGTGAAATTGCCGTCCTCATCTTTGACTTTTTGTGAATGCAGTATTTGATTTATGTTCTTTTCATCTCTTTTTATTTGCTGTTTAACCATCTGTAAGCAGTATCCTTCAGCCAAAGGGAGGGCAATCACCAAGAGGAATTGTGCTGCTCTTTAGTTTCATTCCCATTGCAAGTTATTCATTTGCAGAGTCACGCAGCCTTCTTGTAAAAGAAAAAGCTTTGCTATGAGTCATTCAAAGCTTACATTATTACAGAAAATACCCATCAAAATAAAAACCTCCCCAGGGAAACATCTGGTTTGCAAAGTGTTGTAGAAGCAAGTCCATTCAAAGTGTATTTTTGTACTTCAGAGGCAAAAGGCAAGTTTCTAGCGAAGCAAAAGCCACAGGTTTCTGTAAAACACGGTTTAGATGAGTAGCAAGAAAGGCATAAAGCCAAATCTTTCACTCCTTAAATTTGGCCTCAGTCTCACGAGTGCCATTCAGTTAGTGCCGCCATCCCAAACTATGACAAATCCTCCTTACCAAAGCAATGGCTAATATCCCAATAATTCAGCTCTGCCATAGCAGTAAAGAACTGGCTATGCTTCATGTCAGCAAAGTAATAGCAAATAGGAGCATAACATCACTGAATCCTAGAGAAAAAAATTGCCCAAGTCAGCGATGTTGAAAGTAATCCCATCATAATCCCAGCGTTACTAAGTCATTACTGCAATGGGTTTGTCCCAGATCAAAACGTTCCTGGCTGAAAAATTTCCCTCCCGAGCTGAGGACCTCTCTGTGCAAAAGTAACGAGGGGTAACATACCAGAGAGGTGATTTCTTTTGCTGGTGGACGGGGAAAGGAACAAAACCCTTCAGATTTGGGCTCCTTTTCCTCTACCTCTCTCCAGCAGTAGGCTGTGCTTGGCTGTGCTTGATTTCTCTCTTGTCTATTTTGGATTCAGCTAATTTTCAATACAGGGAAACGTTTTAAAACTGATTGTGTAATTTCCAAAATAAGCTGCTTAATTTTTCCCAAACAGAGGTTTTCAGAGAAATTTACTCTTATAAGACCTAGAAGATTTTACAGTTTGCAAACTGAGTAATGACGCACCACCTGTAAAGGAATGTTTTTAACACTAATTCCATGCAGCTATGTCAAATGACAGATAACAAGTCTACCTAGCATGGGCACACTTGATTTTTACCTTTATTTACTTCTGTTTCTGAACTTCTAATGTATTTTCAAACATAAGACTTATAAAAATAGAAGAACATGCACAGTACATTCACTCAGGCTTTCATAAACTCTAGGAGCAGCCTGTATTCATTCAACCTAAAATTAGTTTTTCTTCAGTTACCACTGGAGGAAAAGGGAGGTAGTAAAAATAACATATCGATACTAAAGAAACCCTCATGACACTCCTAGCTGGGAGTCTCATAATTGGGCTGTCCTGCAGGGGTCCAGGAGGATGACCACAGTCACAGACCACAGATCTGCAGGCAAGGCTTCACAGATGATTTAATAATATTAAAAGGTTAGTAATAATAACAATGAAGTAATAGAACTAAAATAATTGGCCAGGCATCATGGCCTCTGATGAGGACAAGGTGTTGCCCTAGGGAGGACCTGGAGCTCCATGGAGATGTTCTGCTGCTCGGAGATTACATGCAAGTGCAGTGATCCAAGTCTAGCTTTTTCCAGGTGTCTGTTTGTGGTTATTCACAAGCAAGCTCATGAGAGAAAACAAAACCTGTTGCTGTGTTGAAAGCATTTAAAAAATCATGAATTAAAATGTTAACAAGCATTGGCCTTTTTTGTGTGCTGGTGAATGAAACCAAAAAATGAATATAAGATCAGTTCTGGGGGTTAGAGTCCCTGGCTCTCTTCCAAAGCAGAAGCTATGCACATATTAAGCTCTTAAGCTTTGAGCTTTAATAGAGATTTTCTAGAAGATTGTCAAGATTAATTTGGATGCAGGTTGCACAGAGCCTGCCCAGCTTTAATTTTAAAGCAAACAGTGTGAGTAAGAAACACAAGAGTTTTCTCACTGTATCAGAGCTTCTTAGTCACAGCCTATTACAGTGTGTTGAGAGCATATTAATGCTCATTAAAAAGGCTAAAAGGCAAGTATTTTTTCTTTAAATCTTGCTGTTTCAGTTTTGGAAAGTATTTTTCGTGTGCAACAAGTGCAGCATGGGGCTATTTGTCTAAAATGTCTGTTTGCATGGAGGTCATTATCAAATGATATTGTCTAGTTTTGCTCTGTGCATCAACAGCTATCTCAATCTCAACATAAATCCAATTTTTTATTTCGATGAGGTATTAACTGCTCATTTTTAAGGATGCTCCTGTTCTCAGTGTTGAAGGAAAAAAACAAAACAACACTAAATCTTGAAAACAAGGAGTATGTCAATCGTTGACCTTATTTATTATTTTTTCCTTTCCAATACTAGTAAGTGAATGAAAATGCTCATTAAGAAATTTAACAGAACAGAAACAAAGATGTGAATGAAACCTGTTCACAAAAATGTCAGTGAGGTTAGAAAGCACTATTTTTTGCTCTCAATTCTCTAAAAAAGTTGCCCTTTATAATCTTTTCTTAGTCAATAATGTAACAGTCATTCTCTTTAATAGAATGTTTTCGCCTATGAACAAAATACAGTAGAAATGCAGCTTTTGGGGTGAAATAAGAGCATTCATATCTTCTCATTCATCTTGCTGACAATAGGTGCAGCTTGAGCCCAGGTGTCACTAGGGCTCCATATAGTCATTGTACAAAATATTAGCTTGTTGGTCAGTATTTCTGGTCTTGGTCTTGCTGTATTTTTCCTTAGGAGGAGCATACCGCTGAAATGGGTCAGCTATTATGTTCCTAACTGTCACCCTTTTATCTCCAGAGAATGTGTACTAGTCCTTTCTTCTAAATGCTGTAGGAAGCCCATAAAAAGTACATTTCCTAGTCAAAAAATACCAGTAAAGATACTGTGCCAGAAGGCTGTCTTCTTGTTTGCTCCAAGGAGTAGTAGTACATAGTTCTCGTAGTCTTATAAAAGTCAGGATGACTCTTTTGATTTATATAAATCAACTGCAATACACTGAAGCTAGTAGCAACTGAACATCTCAGTGTTTGTGGTATTTGTGAGGAACCAGTCTCTGTTTTTCTTTCTGTTGCTTGTAAAGTCAACGGATGATCCTTGAAAGTGATCAGAAAATGGCCAAATTCCATAGCAGCACCTGCTTCAAATAAGGAATGGAAAATCCAGGCTATTTTTTGATCCCTGTGTATATGCTGAACACCAAATCGTAGCACTGATACCCTTTGAAGCACAGCTATGGCTCATTATGGAGCTAAATCAATGCTAGATTCAGCTAGTTCAAAGTGTAGCTAATGTGCAGGTACTGGTCAAGAGTTAAAATATTAATATATTCTAAAAACCTTCCGTAGAGTTAGTAAACTCCTTATGGATGGAAATGCTGAACATTTAATCTTTAATCTTTACCCAACTTAGTGCTTACTGTATATTATTGAATATACCTGCCCTATACAAGCAAGAAAAAGCATTGCCCTGCAATGAAGGTTGCAGCTATGCTAAATCAACCGTACATCTCACTGCAGTGTTCATTCTTGCAAGGTTACAATGATTTTCTTCTCTGATTTTTCTTCTCAAGCCTGTAATGAAAATAATTCCATTTAAGCAAGATAAGAATATTTCAGTTACTGGAAACAATGATTTATAAAATAAATTTGTTCAGGAAATAAGATGGGGAAAAGATTTTCACTGTAACAGATGTAATCATTTCCTGCTAAATCATAGAAGTTTTAAGGAGGGGCACAAATATCCACTCTTCAAAAAGGCCAGAATGCCTTGGAATAGCAAATTATGTATTTTTTATGACTTCCTAAATTTTCCATTAAAAAGTGCCTCATGTTCTGTCCCACCATGTAAACTCTGATTCATCCAAGACCCTGGAACGGATCAGGAGAACAAGTGATGAATACTCCGTGTAGCCTCAGAGGAAGGATCTAACTTTAGAAGCGGAAACTTTAGAAGCTTTAAACTTCCTTTAAGTTTAAAGGAAGTTAAATGCATACAGACACACAACCTTGAATCTTATAAATAAAAATTCAGTACTGAGAAGAGAAAATCAAAGTATCTTGTTAGCCCAAGCCTTAAATTTTAACTTTACCGTAGTCCTGATGAAAAAATTCTCACTCTTCAGCTTTTAATATTTTTTAGTGTTTTGTCTTGATCTCAAGTGTTGTTTACAGTTATATCCAGGGCCAAATTGTAGGAAGTAGGAAGTTTTGATCTGGCCACACATGGCAGAACAGAGCAGATTACGTCTAAGAAAGGGGACCTTTCTAATTTTATTGTCCTCATGGCTTATCTGCGTGGAGTATGAGGCTGGTAAATTTCATGTGTATAAACATGTAGTTAATTATTACAACATACTGAAATGCCAAAATTGGTCAGTGTGTAGAATGATGACTTGAGAGAAGGTTTAGCATTTCGTGCAAGTCGTTTATCACTGAGAGGAAAGCAAATAGGAAAACATGTGGAGCTTTATTAAACGACTGTGTCTTCGACAGATTGCCTGCAGTTTCATGCAAAATGTTTCTCAAAGTGCATCTTAGGGTGAAATTATTCTGGATAGAAGTGAGAGTGAAATTAAAAGAGACAGGAAAACAGAGGAGAAGCTTTTAAAAAAGAGAGTTGGAAATCAGTGGTGAGTTGGGGAAATATGTACATTGAGATAGTTCCAGATCTGAAAAATAGGCATTGGCCTAACAAAGACAGCTTTTGTGGAGGTCTGGAACATAGATGAAGTGAACAGAGGGGATAGCAGAGAAAGAGAAAAAGGGAAGTTATTTCTAGAAGGTAAATTAATGAATGTATTCCTAATACAAATGTTTATGGAAGAACAGATGAAACTCTTCAAACCAGACGGCCATCTAAGACCAGCATCCTTTCCATCCCAAGATGG